CTCTCTCTCTCAGCTAACCTGACTATTGATACAAACACATGCCTGATAACTATTAGATTATTTAAAGAGCCAGAGGGAACCCATAAGCATTTTCACCTGTTTCTCAATTTAAGACCCCCATACCCCTGAATAAAAGAGCAGCTTAGCAAAAAAAGGGGTACTGGGGGGGTGGAGCAGTGAAGAATGGATTGACCCACAGACTGAGGACCAATTAGACATGATGTGGAAAAAGATCTGGGACAGTGATCTCCCATGGTAGTTGCTTTGAAAAAAAGAAGTTGTGCTCTACAACCCTTTCCTCCCTTGCCCTTTTCCTGATTACTAGGATACTACTGGTTTTACTTGTTTTTATTGTTCCGTGTGTGTGTGTGTGTGTGTGTGTGTTGTTGTTGTTTTAAAAAAACAGTCCTTCTGCCATAGTTTTTATTGCTATTATTTCTTATATTTGTTCTCTTATATCCCCCAAGAAATACATAGTTATGTACACTTTCCTGGGGGTCTTCTCTCCTGGTATGATCAAGACTACAGTATGATCACATCTTGCATGCAGTTAACTTGCACAATTTCAATCTTGTGCGGTTGAAAGCCAGTTGGTTGAAATACTGCAAATTAATTACACGCAAGGTAGAGAGCTTTAATTTTACTTTTCCGGTGGCTTTCTCAACTTTTAAGTTCTCAGACTTACTTACCAGGCTTTGGGAGTCCACCCAAGATCACCCCAGAGTCTTGGGGAACATCCAGGTTAGGATGTTCACACAGAGGCAGTTTGGGCAGACATGTTTTGTGTCCAAGCGCCATCCCTGGAACATAACTCACAAGGCATGATCATACTGTAGCTTAATTCAAAAAAGAGAGTGAAAACAGGGTTATACATAAAGAGTGCAATTATAGGTAGACTTCAAACACATTTGAGTTCTACAGTCCTGAGGAGTTCCACATAGTTAGGAAAGCCTGTGGTTCAGTAACAGAGTATGTATTTTTTGAGTAGAGAGACATAGGTTACATCCCTGGTATCTCCAGGTAGAGAAGGGAAAGGTCTGAAATCCTGGAGTATGTAGATAATTCTCAGCTAGATGGACCAAGGGTCTAGATGGACCAAAGGCAACTTCCTGTCTTCCTAGTAGTTTTGTATTTATACCCATATTGCTAAGAGTGTGTACCAGCAAGCAAGGCAAATCTCTGGCCTGTTGTCTTACCTAGGAATATACTTGGCCTGATAAATTGTTTTACCAAGCTGACAGAAAGACATCTGTTGCATATTATGTAGCTATAAATGGCACATACAAATTACCTTTTCAAGTTATTGATGAACTCATATTTATTACCTGCATCAAGTACAGGGCTCAAAAGCCACTGAAGTTTGCTTTACTAATTGGCTATGTTATAAAGTAGTCCTGTTGTCTAGCTTAGCATTTACAGTGGAGGCGATTTTTCTGAAATATCACTAAAATGCCTGACTTAGTGCAAAACAGGAATGGAGCTCCGAAATCACTGACTAATCCCAAGGTGAGAGACTGATAGCATATAGAAGTGCTGGCACAAGAACGCTGCCAACATTTTCTCCTCTCTGCTTCCAGCACGCCTGCCTCCCTATCTGCATTCAGGGAATCCTGCTGCGATAGGCGAGTGAGAGAATAGTGATCAGAGACAACCATTACTGCTTGGGAATTCAAAGCACCTTCAGAAAAGACACTGACTGCCAAGCTCAGCTTGCCACCCACACAGTACAGATTGAAAGCAAACCAGAATGAAGACAAGCTGACCTCCCGCTATCTCTTTGGGCATGAGACCGCAGCAGTCAACAAAGTAATTGCTCCTCTGAGGTTAGAAGGGGATACAGATCTGGAGGAAAGTTCTAAGAGGCTCTTGGTGCGCACACCAATCTTAAATCTGTCTCCTCCTGCTGACTGATATGAAAGGTAAATTGAACTGATCTTGTCAGTGACAGCAGCAAAATAATCTTATGTTTATTTTTAAAGAAACCATCAAATGAAAATCTGCCCGTCTTTCCAACCTTAACGAACTGTTCTCAAAACCTTCACCAATGGCACATTCTCCAGTGGGTATACTCTGACCCATAGCAGTTCTCCAGGGGCTTTGCCATCGCCTATTCCTTTTAACTGGGATTGAACCTAGGACCATGGTTTCTGCATGTTATTATCTCCCCTATACAAACAGGCAGCTGTTCTGCTAGAACTCTTGCAGGTCTTCTCTCAGTCCAAAATGGCTAGTGTGCAGCAGTCAGTACAGGTGAGCAGGCTGTGAAGGCCAGGCACTGGTATTCCAGCTGTCCACCAGCAGAAGACAACATGTCTGTCCTTTCCCCAGAACATCTCTCTCTCTCTCTCTCACTGGATTCAGCGGCGTAGATAGCCGCTCGGGTGCCTGGTGAGGGGGCGTGTCCTTCAGGCGGGGGCGGGGTGACCCTCTCCAACACCTCCCCCTCAGCTGTAGGGCGGCTGAGGGAGAGGCAGTGGCAGTAGCCAGACACAAGTCCCACGCTGCCATTTCAGGCAGTGCAGAACCCGCAGGCACCTAAGCCACCACATCACTCCTAAAAAGTTTCGTGAGCCCAATTTTTTTAAAAAAAACTCATTTTGTTCACCCCCCTCAGTGATGACACCTAAGGCACGCTGCACCCCCCCTTCCTCTGCCACTGACTGGATTATAGCACAGAACCAGGAAGGCAGGAAGCTGTTCCCCTGGAAATGCCTTAGGTCACTGGTCTTCAACTGGTGGGTCAGGGCTCACTAGTGGGTTATGGCCTGATCCAAGGTGGGTTGCGGCAGGAGCACTACCACCATGCATATATGTGCCAAAAAGGTAAGAGATGGATCTCTGAAAAGTGAATCCTTGGTCTGAAAAGGTTCAAAATACCTGCCTTACGTGAAACCATTCATTTGAAGAATGGAAGTGAAACCCTTCTGTACCTGTGGGCTACATTATTCTGACACTAACCAATGGCATACTATCAATCCATACACACCCAGGCTCCAGTTCCCTTTCCCTAGCCAGCACATCGCTGTTTCATATTACTCAGCTTCATATGCATGTTTAATTTATATAAATATATTATCATATTTATGTTGAAGAACTGTGCTATGAATGATTCTTTACTAAAGAATTTTCCAGTGGATTGCCCCAGAAACAAGAAAGGTTTAATATACTTGTTTTCATTAAAATCACCGTCTTATTTAACTAGTAAAATCTGTCTAATTTCTCTTCACTGCCAATTACTTGAGCTCTCTCCACAGGCTGCACAGCAACTGTTGACTCTCAAATTGCCCTTCTTTGTGATCTCATTAAGCTTCTACTCATATTGTTATTTTACTGTGTTATTAATGCAGCATTTAATATTTAATTCCAATGGTAACCCTTTTTCAATAAACGTGGAAACGTTTATTCTACTCATTCATGGCCAGGGCGAGAAGTGTGGTGTCTTTACTGCCTAGTAAAAATGCTTCACCGTGATTTAAACACACATTCAAACACCTTTTTAAATATGCTTTGTGCATGTAAAAACAGCAGACAACACTTTGTCACAGAACACCCCAATAAGTCAAGTTCAAATAACTTGGGATGATCTATTCCTTCCCTCCCCCCATCCCCTAAAAAATCCCCTGCAAAGTATGGGGGGGGGGGGAAAGACCAACCCACCTACCAATGGTGGCTTTAGCAGAAAACAGCTTACAAAACCAGTACAGTATTTCCCTTCCCTTCCTTCTCCCTGAATCTGCCTGACATGGAAATGCAGTTCACCCTAGGTAGGATTTTGGTTGTCTTTAAATAAACAGGCAAGACCACAGATAACCAGTAAGGCACCCCGGTGGTTACCCCTTTATTTATTTGAGTCTACTGCAGTAGGTCAATAGATGGATCAAAACCCCAAACAAATAAATCACCAAGCCTTTTATACAATTTGCAACTAGTAAATATTAGCAAGTGTCAAAGCAACAAGAATAATTGTGTACAGCCATTTTATCTTCATTAATATTAATACCCTTTATTGCTCCTTATCTCTGTTGTCTTTTGGTACATTAGCCTCTGCTGCATCATTTCCGTGAACATGGCGCAAGGTTCTAACAACCTTTTTTCACAGGACTTGCACATAATATGCTACAGAGTTCGGTAGCAATTTCAATAGCAATCAATACACACAAGAGCAAACAGCACTGGACATCTTCCTGAGCAGAGGGTTTCTACAGTTCATTTTGATTCAGTGCTATTTCCTATGTGTAAGCTGATTTAAGGGACAGTAGAATTTGGGGAGCAAAGACAGGGATAAAAGGCATTCCTTTCGCATGGCTTCTGCATTTGCTCTCTGTACTATTTCAGGTCAGGTTTGGCCGGTAGAAGTGATATTTCATTAATTTTTCCATAACACCCTGAAAAGCTTCTCTGGCGTGGGATTCGTTCTTAACCACCCAAAATCAGGCAGATTAATATTGTGTGCATTGAAGCTCCACTGGTGCAGGATTTCTCCACAAGATTTTCCCCAACCCCACACTTTATCCCCATGCATCATAGACCCCAGCATTTGGTAGCCTCCCTCTACCCCAGACCCTCTGGAGTGGCTTTGCCAAAAGCTAAAGGAAGATAAGGAAAAGTTTGGGTGGATAAGTTGTCTTCCATTTGCACAAACGCCGGATACAAGCTTATGAATCTACATAATCCTGCTTTAGAAAAAGTCATTCTCAAATCTTGTGGCAATGAACTCCATACATTAATTATGGATTGTGCAAAGGAGCAGTTTCATTTTTTCCTGTCCTGAACTGACTTCCAAGTCATTTCACTTGATGACTGAGTTCTTCTATTAACATGTTTTATTTGGGAAATAAGCGTGGAGACTTATTAGTTGCTCAGGCTTGTTATGGAGCTTCTGACACATGTACATATGCCTCAGGATATTTTATTAGTTTTTGGAATTGGCTTTACATCTTTTGTTGGATACCTTTTTTTAAAAGTGCCTGCTTCCATCATTATATTTTTGATTTTTTTCTGAATCAGAAAACAATGACCAATGTGAAATTTGTCAACTCAAATCTGCTACACTACATTATTAGCAACACAAAGGGGTAAATGCCCTTTTCTTGTTTATAGTGCCCTTTTTGCCAGCCAAAATAAATTTCATCTGAACAGACACAGAGAAGCAGTTTTATTACACAGAATACGAGGACATGTAAGAGCTAGCACTGTTCCAATTGTTCTTGGCAGATGCACAAGTACTACACCAAGCTCTGATTGGAAAACCCAACTCTGGAAAATATTTTGCATCTTTTATAAATATATTTTCCCTCTGCTTCCCTCTCTCTGTTCCCGATTGTTCTGTATTATCTGGCATTGTTCCTAAATAGCAAATGGCAAAACCATATTTAGTTGCTTCTTGCTTCAATCTAGTGACAAATGCATCTCTGCACTGGTTTCCACCTTGGTTAAAAACCAGCTCTTGCACATTTCTGTCATCTTCTTTTTTGCAATATTTTAAAAAAACAAAACACTATTGTTTCAAGAGGAGGGAAATACAAGGAATAGATGTACCCCAGCTCCTGAGATATGTATCATGGGTTTGGGAGCACACTGAGGAGCCACTGGTGCTGGTAGGTGTTTTCCCAGTGGAAGCAAGAGATGGAGATCTGACTGTTTCTTTTTTGCAACAGCCTATGAGATGCCCTCACAAAAGCTAGAAGACTGCAGGATGAAAAACTTAAAATAAGAAGTACAATGGTTGTATACTGTTTTTTTAAAAAAATAGATATATACTTTTGTACATATTGGTGATTTTGCTAATTTTGAAAAATACAAGACTAAGCACACAGCCCTTTATTCCTCTCATTCTCACCTTTCACAAACAACACATTAATATTTAAAGGGGGGAATGGATGTTAAACTTTCAGCACAAACTTGAAATTAAAAAGAGATTTCTCACATTCATAACCCTGTGCAGCACAGATTTATTGGTTTCAAAACTTCTTGCATTTTTCCATATTGTGAAGCCTTGAGTATTCACCAGAGATATAGATATAGTGTTTTAATATACTGCTGCACAGAGGAGCAGATACAGCCAAATAATTAATATCCAGCATGAGAAATCAACAGAGGTAGTCATGGGATTGCAAAAAGGAGACCAAAACATGGCTACAAATACCACAGAGGGACTGGAGTTCAAAAGGAAGAGAGAAATTTTATGGATCCTTGAGGAAAACTTTGCTGCTTCATTTTATTTAATTATCTCAAATAATTATCCAAAGATGGCAGCTGGTTTTAATGCTGAAATTAAATTCATAAACAAAAAAACACATTAACACTCCTTGCTCCACTGTGTAAAATAAAGGGTGGCATTCTGTGACTTACAATGTCATTTTCCAAAGTGGGTAAACCTGTGGCCCAGGTTGCTGGGCTCCAACTCCCATCAGTCTCAGCCAGCATGGCCAATGGTTAGAGATAATGGAAGCAATAGCTGCAGCAACATCTAGGGGGCCACAGGTCCCACATCTATTGTACAGATCCCACAACTGTAATGGTGCCTTGGAACAACGATGCCAAGGGGCAAGGCAGTGGTCCAGCTTTCTTGGACATACATAAATGAAAGCCTAAAATGTGATAGATGGAAACTCAAAACAAAACAAAACATATGATAAAGGACCTTTGTTTATCATGGCTGTGGCTCTTATAATGAAAGTTATTAGGTGATCTGCAAAAGATCCTGTCTTAATGCAAGTTACATAACCCTTAAGTGTGTGATCAGCAGCAGTTGTCAATGTGGGTTTAAACGCATCATTTGGAACTCAAATATATCCAGGGATGGCAAAAATAGCTTTCTGGCATTCTGCCATAGGCACAGGCTGAAATCAAGCTCAGATTCAGAGGAGGTGTGGTGTGTTTGTTTCTGCACAAGCTTGTACAAGCCAGCACCAAATATTTAGGAGCCAACTCTGTATGTAAAGGGGACCCTGACCATTAGGTCCAGTCGTGACCGACTCTGGGGTTGCGGCACTCATCTCGCTTTATTGGCTGAGGGAGCCGGCGTACAGCTTCCGGGTCATGTGGCCAGCATGATTAAGCCGCTTCTGGCAAACCAGAGCAGCGCACAGAAACGCCGTTTACCTTCCCGCCGGAGTGGTACCTATTTATCTACTTGCACTTCGACGTGCTTTCGAACTGCTAGGTTGGCAGGAGCAGGGACCGAGCAACGGGAGCTCACCCCGTCACGGGGATTCGAACCGCCAACCTTCTGATTGGCAAGTCCTAGGCTCTGTGGTTTAACCCACAGCGCCACCCGCGTACCTTAACTCTGTATGTGCATAGGTAAAATACTGTATCTTAATGGCATCAGACAAATGTTTAGTTGCCCAGAGAACTAGGATGCCAAGAGTCTTCTTTTCTTGGGCTCTGCATGCTACCACTTAACTCATTAGGGTTGAATTATTTTTATTTTGACTAATTTTGCTTGTTATCCATGCTACAGAGGAAGCATCCTGTCTCTGTGGTGCCTTTCAAAGTGCACTACACTAGAACATTTGGGTCGCTCGTTCTCTCATTGGCAGCAAATAAAGCAACTGCTTCTATCAACCTCTCTAGTGAGGAATGATCTGGTTAAGCAGAAAAGCATGCATCTAGGTGGTACCCTGGGCACTAAGCTCAGATATGCTACACAGCTACAATATATTTTCCTCTTTAAAGGTCAAGCTGACAGGCAGCAATACCCATATTATGGTACAACTAAATCTCTAAGCCTAGGATGGAAGGAAAAAGAACCTTAAAACTACTGAAGGATCAGCAAGTGAAAGTCCCACCCCCTGAGGGGTTGCCAATATCCTCCATCCACCCCTACATTTTACATCTAACGGCCCTGCAAAGTGGTCCAGATAAGAACAACACTTAGATACAGAACTGTAGCACACTGATTACCTGCTGGCAGCACAGCTTACTGGGATGTAACAAGAAACACTGCTAGTCAATCACTGCAGCTTCTCAAATGTGAGCTCTCGATTAGGTCTCTGGTGGATTTTTTTAAAGGCGAAAACTCAGTTGCCCTTATCTTACAACTACACACTAAGATTAGCAGCCAGGATTCTTATAAGTTTACAAAATCCCTGCTTGTGTTGCAAGCCATTTCTGCTGAAGTGGCTAGACTGCACTATCTGCCAGTCTATAACATGCTTCAATTTTTAGTTGCTCCCCAACTAGATCTTGAGGGATGCACATGATACATTCTCCCATGTAACAATACCTCTCAATTCATATCGGGAGGGGGGCGATCACAGCTTTGAAATTAAGCCCTCCATGTCCAAAACCTCCTGAAAGGCAAACTCATCATGCAGAAACTGCATCTGCATTATCAGATGCAGATAACGAACGGCATCTGCATTATCAGACATATCAGGTATAGTTTTACCTGAGTGCACACAATACAAACTGCCACCAGATGACAACAGCTGTTCCTCCTCTTCATCATCACTACCTTGCCAGCCCCTTCTGTGCTGCTACTCTTCAGCCCAATGCAGCATCATATGGAGGAGTAAAAACAGTTGTCGGTGTTTGCTCCCTTCTCCTGCCCACCCCAGGGTCATGGGATTGTGGAAGTAGCAGCACTCACTCACCCACCAGCCAACCAACCCACTGGGGCAGAAGGAGAGGGTGGGTGGGCAAGGACACTGTTGTCAAGGTGCTGTTCTTGTTCGTCCTCCATAGCACCACTTTGACTGTGCCCAGAAAAGGAGAGGCTGAGGGAGCAGGTGATGGTGAAGAAGAGAAACAGCAGCAGCCTCTGCTGACATAAGGGAGAGAGGAGAATAAGCATGCTCTGGCAAGCACAGCATCCATCTGGGTATATGAGAGTGCAGTTGTACAGAGGGTAGGAGAGATCCACTGCAAGTCTCTTGGTCTTCACCAGCCATAGAATGCTGGCTCTCTGTTGTGCAACGTGAATAGAAAACCAGGGGAGTGGAAAGGATGGAGCATCCTAAAAAGAGATGGGCTGGATTTCTTAAGAACAGCCCTGTACACTGCAATGTTTTGTTTTCAGGCCCTACTTGTACAATTCTATCTCTGACACAGGTTTGGCCCTACAGACTATCTGGATAGGAGCCCATCTGAGTTTGTGGGGAAGTGAAATCCATATAGACTCCATATAAGAACCTTTAAGATACCATAAAGCACATTGTGTATTCTGACCAAGTTTTCACAGCTCTGCTGGCAAACCCAAATTTCCTGGGCAGAATTACTCAAGACACCGCTCCATTGTTCACAAACAACCGTGCTGCAGCCAGCAAACTGTACCACACAATTTCCTCCAAAGCAACTGAAAAGAAAAGGGCAGTGAATTACAAGAAGTTATTTATTCCTGAGAGTAGATTAATCCAAGCACCCTTGCAAAGTCAGAATTCAAAAGAATTGGGCATGAGTGCTGGAGGAGGAGGAGGAAACTGGTAGTTCCACAGTTGGAGAACAGAAAAAAATGCCTTACGGCTCAGAGAAGCCCCAGAAAATCCAGCTGTTAGTGTCTGGCGAACAGAAGTTACATAACTCCCTTCCTTCCTTACAGGCACTCTGCATTTTGACTGTCTTCCTTTCCCATTTAAATTTACTGTCTCAGTAATTTCTTATTGATCTGCACTTCAGCATAAGTTATTTCACCTGATTCACCCTTTTGACAACCACTTTAACAAAGTGCACATTTCAAAACAAACAAAAAGCTCCCTTGGACTCCCCACCCCTGCCATTTCACATCTCAAAAACTGACACTTTTTTTTCTTGCACAAGAAATGGCCATGGGGCCTTTTTGTTCTTGAGTTTTATTTTTGTTCTTTTTGAGAACTAGAGAGAGTAGTTGATCAAGCATAAGCCCTGAGGTCTGTTCTGGGTTTTGGTCTGTTCTTTAAAATGTGTGGCACAGAAAACTTAAAGAGAATTTGCTAGAAACTCTGATAGCTTTAAGCAATTCTCTCACACGTCACCGTGTTTTAAATGGTAGCTCCGTAACAACCAGTTAAAATTCCTTGTGCAAGAGAATGAGAACAGAAAAGAATGAGCACTGAGGATGTTTATGGGAAGCCGCTCAGGAAGAACTTACGGACTTTAGCTGTTCTTCATTGTTGCTCCCCTCCCCAAGTATGTTGTTTCTGGCCATGGAAGTATCACACAGCCATGGTCTTCCATGTTTTTGTCTGATTTCCTTTCAAAGCCATCCAACAGTGCCATCCTAAACCACCTCCAGAGTTAAGTCCTAATGAATTCAACTAGGTTTTCAGTCTAAGGGCTTGTCCACACTTCCGCTTTCTTGTGCCTAGAAAGCACTGGACTGAGCAGCTTTCTGCTTGACCCACATTTTCTCAGCATGGATCTAAGCACTTTTCTTCTTGCCTCATTACTTTCCCAGAGAAAACCCACCCTTTAGTGCTAAACCGGAGCAAACATCAATCCAGAGAAAACCCAAATTCCCATTTGCTCTGACTGAGTGCTAAAGAGCAGTTTTCCCCAAGTGAAAGCAGTGGGACAAAAGGAAGTGTGGATAAGCCCTAAGTTGGTGGCCATCACCACATCTCTTATAGTGAATAACATAGCACAAATTCAGCCGGAATCCCCCACCATTCAGCTTTATTGAATGATCTTGAGAAAGAGCAAACAAACAAACAAAACCAAAAACCTTTGTCTACACTCACACCATAAATAACTATATACTTCTATCACATCCCCACCTTACCCACCTTGGAGTGTTTCCAACTAAGTTCTACTCAGAGTAGACTCCCTGAAATAATGAACCTAAGTTAGTCATGTCCATAAACTACAGTAGGTCTAACATTGGATACTGCTGCTTTTTTTCTAAATGAAAAGCCCCAAATGTTGTAACCTTTCCTCATAGCAGGTTTGTTCCAGTCCCCTCTTACCATATTGGTTAACCTTTTTGGCACTTTTTCTAGCTCTGTGATATCATTTCTGAATGAACTAGAATAAAATGTATGCTTACATGTGGACATGCACGCAAACACCTGAAAGAGGTTTTACCATCCATGTACACATGCAGCATTTTCCTTAATGCCGACACCAGTTTCTTTATCAGAAGGGATCAATTGTCCAAAAGTTGACCATGAAGAGGAGGCATGTGGGAAATGGGTGAGAGGCAAAACAAAAGGAAATTAGATTCAATGGAAAACAGCTTCAAGATTTCCATTACAAAGAACTTTTAGAAGCAGTGAATAAAAATATGCAGTTTAGATATTAAGCCTAGCTACTAGACTATGCATAGATCTACTCCGATTAGCATTCTGTAAATATTGAAGATGGGTTCATTTTTGTTCTTCTGCTTTCATTTTCTCACAAAGACAACTGCAAAGGCAGTCTTCATTTTTTGTACAGATTTATTCTTAGCTGTCAAAAGGATAGCACTCCTGCTGTTAAGAAGGACAGGTGTGATATTTTCAAAACAAATATGCTCAATCCCCAGTGAAATCAGAGTGCAATTATCCTATTTACTCGCCTTGCTTTAGCAATAATCAATATAACATATACTACCACTACTGCCAGGCCAGGCCTGGCTTGATTTCCTCTGAGAGGGTAACTTATTTGCTGGGATCATTCAGCTAGGAGTAATTTCTCCCTCCCCTCCCTTGCTGCCGCCTGTCACATTGAAAGGCTCACTCCTGCCTGGGAATGAATGCAAGTAGTTTAATTAAGTTGAGTGTATGGAAATGACAGGCACTTCATATTTCTATATTACAATATGCTTTGCATCCAGGAGCAGAGTGAGAAAGTTGCAACCCAATATCCAATAAAAGAAAATGTAAGGGCAACCACGGAGCCACTTCCAACAGGATTTATCCTTGCTTCTGCTTTTATCCATTTTTTACACGTGTGGGAAACCCAAGGCTTATAACTTTAAGGTGGTTGGGATTCTTCTGTCAGGAGAGCCTCAAGGGTTCATCAACTACAGCTATCTTGGTTCAGTGGCAGCTAGGAAGTGATGAAAGATGAGTAGAGGAAAAGGTGAAAAGTGATAAGCGAGAGGCATTAATCTGCTGCCCCCTCTCCCCTCCAGGCAAGCTTAAGGCATTGGTCAGTGTCTAGCTAAGGTGCAAGATTCAATATAAAAGCACAGCGGAGTCCATTGTGCAAGAAGGTACTCTGGTTTATAGCTTTCTGCAAAAAATATTTCATAGAGTTTAATGACAGTTTATGAATTCCCCTGAGGTAGAGCTCCTTGAAACCCCTCAATTGGCTGGCAGTTTGCCTACAGAGAAAGGAGTATGCAGTATTTTAGTGGTGCCAGACAATCAATTTGAAAGTCTCATCTCAGAACCTCAACACTCTTAGTTTTCACTCAAAACTCGTATATTGAGAGTTGATGGAAAGTGGGGATCTGACTTTGGCCTCCTCCTCATTCACTTCTCCTACAGCAGCTCCATAAGTCACTTTTCAGAAAAAAGTGCCTAGGAGCAGCACATCTGCCACACTCCTGAGCTATTTCCCTTCTCACCTCAGGCAGCAAAGATACCAGGCTTAATCACACCTAACAATTTGCAACCTTCCCTGGCCTTGTGCCTCTCCAAACCTTGCTGGACCACAATACCCATAATCCCTTGATGTTGGCTATGCTGGCTGGGGCTGATGGGAGTTGGAAAGGATCCTAAGGGTCATTTAGTCCAACCCCTGCAATGCAGGAATCTCAGCTCTTAGCCATCCAACCTCTGCTTAAAAACCTCCAAGGAAGGAGAATCCATCACCTCTCATGGGAGTCTGTTCCACTGCTGAACAGCTCTTACTGTCAAAGTTTTTCCAAATGTTTAGTTGTAATCTCCTTTCTTGCAACTTGAAGCCATTGGTTCAAGTCCTACCCTCCAGAGCAGGGAAAAAGCGCATGCTCCCTCCTCCATGTGACAGCCCTTAAGTTATCTGAAGATGCCTATCAAATCTCCTCTTAGTCTCCCTCTTTTTCCAGGCTAAACATACCCAGCTCCTTCAAGTACTCCTCGTAAGGCTTAAGTTTCCAGATCCTTGATCATCCTGATTGCCCTTCTCTGCACACGTTCCGGCTTGTCAACATCCTTCTTAAAATTGTGGTGCCCAGAATTGGACACAGTATTCCAAGTGTGGTCTGACCAAGGCAGAACAGAGTGGTACTATTACTTCCCTTGATCTGGACACTATACTTCTGTTGATGCAGCCTAGAGTAGCATTAGCTTTTTTTGCTGCTGCATCATACTATTGAGTCATGTTAAGCTTGTTGTCCACCAAGACCCCTAGATCCTTTTCACATGTACTGCTAGTAAGCCAGGTGTCCCCCATCCTATATTTGTGCATCTGGTTCTTCTAGTTTAACTTTAATCCGCTCATATTACATAGTTCATAATATGTAGTAGAAGTACTTAATTTAGAATGAAATCCTGTGATCCAGAAAAGTTCCTTTGATGAGCTAGCACATTAAACTTTCAGTTTCTTTCATAGTTGAGCCATCTTAGGTTAGCATCTTGTGCCTGCACAGCAGAAAAGCTAAACCCATGGCATGTATATTTTAAGTGCATTGGAAGTTAGTGCTCAGACTTAGTGCTTAACAGGCATGTTATTACCATACTCAAATATGGTCTGGCAATTTACCGGGGAGAGATCTGGAGTAGGCCTCCGGCTTGCCTTTCTGTGATAGAATAAAAAGATGAAATCCTGCATTCATCTGAAGCAGGAATCACTCTGCCCCTGTAAGTTAGAACCTGCTAAAAAGAATTCTTCAGCAAGCCCCAATAAAAATTGAGAGGCAAATCGTTACTATAGCAAGCCCCAGATTGAGATAGTTCTTTCAGAATCCTGGGAAGAGCCACTGGTTAGGCAGGCAGGATTTGATAGATCATTCGCCAGATCATTTGTGTAGCTGCTACAACTGAACCAGGAAGCAGAGGTTTGTGGCACACCTGGTTAGGAACAGGAAGCTCCATGGGCCTGGCTAAGTCGAGCCTATATTGTCAGAGAAACCCCCGCGTTCACACATTCAGTTCAGTGCAGCTTTTGTGCTGAGAAAAGGAATAGCAGCCATTAAAGCACAAAAACCAGACAGAGATTCTCAAATCACCTTCACAGGTACAAACATTGTTAAAGCAGCCTCTACATTTTACAAGATTCCTGAAATGCAGTGTTCTATGTCACACACTTCCACTTGTCCCATGCCTTGAAAGCACAGGTTTGAGAGGTTTTCAGCTTGCCCCGTATTATCTAGGCATAGGTCCACCAAGTGGTTTTTTCATTTGTTCTGCTGCTTTGCCTGGAAAAACTCGCTGCTTACCGCTGAATCGGAACAAACGTTGATCTACAAAAAAACTGGAAAGTGGCAGGACAAGCAGAAGTGTGCATGTCAAGTGTGTGTGTTTTATCAGAGAAAATACCTCATCCTATTCAATGTGAATCAGGATGCTGCTGACGCAGTAAGGTTTACAATGCAGGAATACACCATAACCACAGCACAATTTGTTTCTGACCATATGCTGAGCCAATTTGTTTCATGTGAAAATAAGGCAATTTGTTCCATTCTCATTCACACATTTGCCATGTTCTGCAGAGAAAAGCGGGAAGCTTGCAAGGGCAGACTGGGGATGCTCCACTTTAGTTCCAAGAGAGCTCAATGAAATCTTCACTAAATGAATGAAGCCAATTTAATATTCCAATACCCGACAGAGCCAGGGGCTTGAAGGGAAGGCTAGAAGTATAGTGTTCATATAAATTGCTTTTTTGTGTGCTCATAATGGTTTATTGCTCAGTATCCCCAAGTGGTAAAAGAATCATTTGCTCTACTTCTACAGACTGAAAGCATACAAATTAATAATTCCCAATCTGTATGGAACTATCCTATTTGTTTACTTGGGGTGATACCACCTTATGCATCATAGCCCTGTCCTGAGCCAGTTGAATTACTACAACTGTGAGCAGTACATCATAAATCTAACACTTAAGAGAGGCTTATATAAGTCTTGGTGTCCTGACTCCAGAGCTCATTATGAGGACTATAATTAATTACTAGCAAGTCAGGGGATTAGCAGAAATATAACTAAAGCACTGAGCCATTATGTTAATGCATTTTTATATTCTCTGAGCAGGATCTGTCAAAATGTGCCTTTTCATAACTCCCCATTTTGAGTAGGAATAAATATGGCTTTCATAAGGTTGGCGTTCTTGACTTAAAACAAACAAACAAAAGTACTATTTATATTCCAATTCCAAGAAAAAAACATCTACACAATGACAAATGCAAGCAGCAGGCCAATAAGCAGAGTGGCAAAAATATTGTGTAATTTTAAGTCAGATTCTCCGAAATGAAGCCTTTCAAAGAGAATGCCTCTTCACTTAGCTCTGAGGCTACTGCCAATAACAGATGGGCCAAGGTTTCATTTTTGTTTTTTAGGTGTAGAAATGCAAGTGGGGGTACCCAACCTGCCTTGAAGGCAAGGCTAGCCCTGTGATACCTTGACTTAAATTTGCCACTGCCTTTCAGTTCACCCTAACACCTGAGTGTGAGAAAAGTTCAGGAATGGCAGGTTAATTTTCATCTGGGGAGGGAGCAACTGTCAGTTAACTACCCTTTCACCAATGAGCAAGTTCAGCCAAGATTCCCCTTAGTCCAGGAGTCAGCAACCCGCGGCTCCGGAGCCGCATGTGGCTCTTTTACACCTTTGCCGCGGCTCCGGGGCGGATACTAGCGAGGGGAGGAGGTGCATTGTGTGCCCCGACACTCCCCACTGTTTTAAATGTCGCAATGGTTTTGCGGCTCCCAGTTTTTTTTTCTTCGGTCCAAGTGGCTCTTTTTGTCTTAAAGGTTGCAGACCCCTGCCTTAGTCAAAGCATGTAGCATGATAGTGCAGTCTGGCATGCAAGGCAGCAGCTGAATGAAGCTGGATAGGATAGCTCACAAACACCCAGCTCCATCCCTTCATTCCATCTGAACTGGGATATGTGGTTGAGGTGCTGAACGAACTTGCTATTCTGTTACATGTGCAACTGCCCTCAGATTCTTGAGGAGGAAAGTTAATCAGGAGGAGCTCTCAAAATTCTCTGTTTGTGTTGCTCCTTAAAAATGTTGTTTCCCCGCTGAAAACTGAAGTAGTAACTGACCTTATCTTACCCTCTCTGGTTCCCCACACTGCAATTATTCTCACTCTGCCTGTCACTTGAGAACACCTGCAACCCCACCTGTTTATTTATCAAGGCCTGACAAAGGTAGAAATGGGTTTAAATCTAATTGGCTGCCTCAGTTAAGCATGCACCTGGAACAACATCCGTTTCCAAGCTACAAATGAACCCACCAGTTGAAAACAAGCACATACCTGCACTTAGTAAACCTAGTAAAGGAATGTGATATAGAATGTCTCTCAGATAAAAAGGATAGAGCCAATGCTCTGAGGGGGAAAAAAAAGAAAAAGTTGAATTAAAAAGTGAATTGTCATGTCAAGCTTATAAAAAAAAAAAAATCATCAGACTGATCCCAGTATGAGCATACTGATTCTTCCCCTATTAACTGTATTCTGCTTCTAATTTAGAATGGGAAAATGACAAGCTTTCTTTAACCACGTGACAAAGCTTTGTTTTTGTGCTGCAACACAAATAAAAGCTCTTATGCATCATTTCTCTTTCAAGTTTTCTTGCTGCATAAGCAAATAAACAGATACAAGGAGAAATGGGGAAAAATATTAGCTCTTCATAAGCAGGCTTCTTAACAGCTATTTCATTGAAATGTTTATACATTAATGGGCCTTTGTGTGTTGGGAGAATAGATACATCTTGACAAAATGAGTTACTATATGCTTTGTTTTATGTGCTTGATAAATAGGACCAAAATAATTCCAGTGTCGTTCACGTGATGAATTTGAACAGCATTGTGGATAGAGTTCTGAAATCTTTCACATTATTTCTTCTCATTCTCTCGACTATGCCCCAGCTGATTGATAAAAGAGAATATTTCAAAAGGAAGGAAAATGTGGCACATTTGCTGATAACATGATGTGAGCATGCAAAAGTGCCCAAACCATTCTTCTTCATCTTTCAGGATTTTTTTTAAGCCAATGGCAGGGTGAAGCAAAACACCCAAAAGGAAAGAACTATGGATTTTTGTGGAACAAATCTTTAAAAGTCTGACCTTGATCTCCTCAAAGCCTCATTAAAAGGCAGAAAACTGCACAGCACAGAAATATATCTATATCTAGACTGTCATGCACAAAAGCAAGTAATGCTAGGATAAATGGAATTCTGTTACAAGAAAAGCAGTCGGTTCCCCCATCACACACACATTCAGACTCCACGGTGTTTTAGAACTTTATTTCTTTCACAATTTATTGAAAACTTACTTCACATGTCAAAGTTGTCCAGAAATGTGCTTAAGCTTGCTGGCTACCACCCCTTTGTTTCCCATGTAAATGGTAATCCCTGCATTCCTAGATCGCCACAAGTTCAGATGCTGCTTTGGTCAGACACTCTTAAGATAAAGTGAGGGTACAAAGCCTATGAATACTGTGGCTGTGAAAATATGGCGCGTAATGAATTATCTGTGCTCAGTAATCTCTTCTTTTGTATGTCATTATTTTTTAATTTTGTAACATTAATATTTAAGTTTTAGAGCTTGATCCTGCGGCAGAGCTGAGCCTCCAGACAGTATGAAGACCTATAATCATTCAAAATGGTTGTATCAAGGAAACAAACTCGAATTAGGCCCCCTTCCTGCATCACACCACAGGCCTGATTTACACATGTATGTGCATCATGTAGTTTCCCTTCACTTGAATTACTATGCAACAGACAGGGCCCACCTAAGACATTTTGACACCTGAGGCAAACCACAAAGTAACGCCCCTGCTGCCAACAGGTGGAAGGAAACCAGCAGTGCCTCCTATTCACCAAGAGGCACTGCCGTCACCGCCACCACTGATTTCTGGGCAAAAGCAAAATGAGGATGAACAAGGAGGGTGCAAAGGTAACGTGGAGAAGTAAGATCCAGGAAGCTCTCATCAAGCAGAGGGAACGAGAGTTTCCTTTTGGTGTGACTGCTGAGACAGGAAAGAATGTATTGTGTGTCTCCTTGTCACCCTTAAGAAAGACTGCATGAAATAAGGGCGTTGTCTAAAGTGAATTAAGCCACTTATCAAATAGTGTTCTGTATTGGTTATAAGATGCCAGAAGACCTCGATTATTAGGCATCATTCATGGGACCACTGGGCTGGAAGGATGTCTAGTGCAGTGGTTTTCTGCCTTTGTCCAAGGAAAGGCTGGAATACACTGAAAACATTATCAGGAGCTAACCATAAAAAAAATCCATAGTGACAGCCAAGCTTCACTGAAGAGGAGGAAGAAGACCATTTGTCCAGCACTGCTGATCTTTCTCTATACAGTGGTACCTCTGGTTATGAACTTAATTCGTTCCGGAGGTCTGTTCTTAACCTGAGGTACCACTTTAGCTAATGGGGCCTCCCGCTGCCGCTGCGCAATTTCTGTTCTCATCCTGAGGTAAAGTTCTTAACCCGAGGTACTACTTCTGGGTTAGCGGAGTCTGTAACCCAAAGTGTTTGTAACCCAAGGTACCACTGTAATATGCAGCCTTAGGGTACTACAAGGTGTAGAGTCCTACGTAAACCGAATGTGCACATTAAACATTATCCAGAAACCTCAGCAATATGCAAGGGGGTTGTGGCAGATGTATAAGGATCCAACAAGAAAATGTTTTCCGGAAGGAGGGAAAATCTGGAATCTACAGGTATATGGAAGTCTGGAATCCTCCCCCTCTGAAGCAAGACAGGATTGTCAAACCATCAGATCAAGCCACCAGTTCAGTTTGTGATCATCACCACAGTGACCACATACAGAAAATGCAGACAGCTTGAGTTGATCCATAAGGGAAGAGAAACCACAAGATATTATCCATTAATCTGTTATTTCCAAATAACTTCAACTATATGTTGTTCTTTGCTCCCGAAGCAGTTTCAGGAAGAATGTTTTAGTCTAATAACATTGTTAATTTTTAGAGACTTCATTTTTGTTTCCAGCTCTTCATTTCAGAAGGGATCCAATAATTTCTAAAATAATTGTTAGGGTCTGTTTTGAATCAAGCTCCCTATGATGCTCTCAACACACATCCCAAAACATAAAAGGGCAAACCCAGCAATCAACGTTACTAATGCAAATTATGAAAAAGCCACAACCAAACTGAACACCAGGAGTAAAACACGTTTGCCAGCATGAAATTGTTCCTGTAGCTCACATGATGCTCTTTACTACAACATTACAGGCCTGTTCTGGCACCTTACACGGCATAGGAGGGCTCAAAAAGCAGTAATTCTCTGGGATTTGAGGTCCTTGCAGACTTCCAATTTCTGACATCCACATTTTTACTGCAAATTATCCCAAGTACAGTGGTACCTCAGGTTAAGAACTTAATTCGTTCCAGAGGTCCGTACTTAACCTGAAACTGTTCTTAACCTGAAGCACCACGTTAGCTAATGGGGCCTCCTGCTGCCCCTGCGCCGCCAGAGCACAATTTCTGTTCTCATCCTGAAGCAAAGTTCTTAACCTGAAGCACTATTTCTGGGTTAGCGGAGTCTGTAACCTGAAGCGTATGTAACCTGAAGCGTATGTAACCTGAAGCGTATGTAACCCGAGGTACCACTGTACAAAGATCAACAGATGCTGACCTGTCTTCTGAAAGGGTGAAACACAAATATTTTAAGGCCATCAGTTAGTTTAGAAAGACAACCTATGCTAACCTAAGAAGAAAAATCACTCGCAACTGCTAACACAGTTCCAGTTTTGACAAAGGACGTTAATTAACACACACCTCTCCCACATTAAAGCCAATGTAACTAAATGGCTATATTAAAAATAAGATTTCTTCTTATAATGTAAGAAAATGATTTACAGGGAATATTAAATTAAAGCAATGGTCTTCTTCCTTGTTCTGTAAGGTTGCTCTAAAATTGAAAAGCTTTACTTATTTTGAAGGTGTCTAAACCAAGCTTTCATTCAAAAAAATTTATACCAGAGCAGAGTGCATAAAAATCAAATATCCATACAGTATTAAAACAAAAGAAAATCAAACCAAAATGAAATCTGAAAACATAATACTGTAAATCAAAAACTACCCAATCTGCTACAACTGTGTAAGCTGGAGGGAAATGAACATCTCAACCTGACAGTGTCAGCCAACAGATGATCAGCTTTAAAAATTCTACCCAGTTTCTTGAACTGAACACCAAGAGCCAAAACTCTACACATAGCTTTCTATCTAAATTCTATTCTACTAAACATATTTGTGACAGTGAACCCTGCTTGCCTTGGAAGACAAGTGTGTGGTATGCAAGGAACCTCTCTGAGCAGGCCATTCCATAAATGGGGTGCCACCACAAATGGAAGAGTGCGGGATGGAGTAACTGATTTCTGTAACCCTCATACTTGTCTCAAACCTTAAGTAGCAGATGCAAGGATCATTCCATTGACTGAGTGGCATGTAATATGAAACAATTTCCTGCAATCTCTGCTGCCTGATCTTCTGCAAGTCCTAACCAAGAAATTTCAGATATTGTGACTGGATGTGAGAACAGTGTTGTGCCTTCAGCATATTTAAAATATAAGGTTAAGATATAATCATCTGACACCCAAGCCCTGGGGAACTAAGGATATATATTTATAGGCACACTTCCTACCAATATACATACTTCCCTCTAGCTGCTGATAGGCGTCTCTATCAGACAGAGCTGCATAGCTGCATAAAAATCTCTCCTCCAGCATTTTGGATTCAAATTTCAGTGCAGGGCACTTTGATTCACATCATAGCTATAGTTGCAAAAAGCCCTTTTAAATGTTAGAAGTGCAACATATTTGCAAATAATCCTGGCACGGGTACTCAGATGACTTTTTATATCTTGGATGTATTTTAGGCAGCAGTGAATTTTAGACACTTACATCACTGTAATTGAAATACCAGTATAGCAGTGTGCGTCTACGTCCAATTTTTGACTTGGCAAAGCAGTCTAGAATAGCTCTACAACCTTTACTGAGAATGTGGCTGGGAAAAAAGCACAAGCTGAGAAAACAGCCCTTTTGAGTAGATTATTTTTTCTAACCATGATTGGAGACTTGAAATAGAAATGGGGACAGGGGAAGGAAGGATCCCTGATCTCTTGCATACAGCTTATTGAATGTTCTCCTAACTAGCTTTCATTCCAGCACCATATATACAAAAACCATGCTATCCAAGGGATACAAAATCCAGAACACACAGGGTTCTGCAACCACATATGGTATAAGGAGATATATGAGATAGTTGCCAATTGCCTCCTTAAACCAAGGTTACAGGTGCCAAAATGGAATGTCAAGTTGCCATTTTGGGGCCAGATGGCTCGAAAGTCGTATTTTTCAATATAACTTTTTGGCTCCTGAAATTTGTTCTGCAGATAAAATATCATAGATAGAATTCTAAAGGACGTATTGTTTGTGTGTGAAAACAGGCAAGATCCAAGGACCCCCAGACATGCACCTCCAGATGGTGGAGACGTCAGGTGCCATCCTTGGTCACAAGTGGCAGATAGCTAGGTGCAGAATGCACTGGGTATGAGCTGTTCATGGGAACTTGGTCCAATGACACGAAGAACTATTTCCAGTGAAGTAGTGGTTGTGGCAGACAGTCTTGTGGCACCTTAAAATCAAACACATTTACAATGGTACCTTGGGTTACATACACTTCAGGTTACATACGCTTCAGGTTACGGACTCCACTAACCCAGAAATAGTGCTTCAGGTTAAGAACTTTGCTTCAGGATGAGAACAGAAATTGTGCTCCAGCGGCGCGGCAGCAGCAGGAGGCCCCATTAGCTAAAGTGGTGCTTCAGGTTAAGAACAGTTTCAGGTTAAGTACGGACCTCCGGATCGAATTAAGTTCTTAACTTGAGGTACCACTGTATTATGGCATAAGCGTTCATGGACTGCAGTCTACTTCCTCAAAACAATGGCATTCCACCACACATTGGCAGCAATTCAAAGTCTGGCCCGGAGGAGCTACAGGCTATATTTAGTATCACTCTCTGCTTCAAAGACTGTCAGAACTGAGCTGCCATGGAGACTGAACACATATCTGTCTGAGTCAGGGTTCAGGTAGCTGTGGAAGAGCAGAGAAGTACGCAGGAGAGCTTAAGTAACTGGGTTTTTGTTTTGTTTTTTGGTTGTTTTAAAAAATGAACACCCCAATTTATCCAACAAGGAAATTACTCCTCACCCTCTTAGCAGTAGGACTGTTATCAATCTTCATTCAGACAACCAAATCTTTCTTCTGCAGTATTTTAACACTAGGTATTAAGTATTCTAATACTCGTTTCAAAAGAGTTGAAAAGTCAGAGGATTCTTTAAACAATACAGTCAATTGCACAGATTAAAATTCCTGTTCTGTCTTCTTCGCTCTCTGCTTTCATCCTCTAATAGAAGTTATTAGGAAGTGAAACTAAAAGGATGCCAATAGCATAAATCCACCTTGACTGAATGGTAAAATTAGATGTAATCTCTGCTGCATTGTTGTACATTATCTTTCTGCAGGCCTGGCATATGTGCACGTACACACACACACACACACACACACACACACACACTTTCCTATAGGCTACTTTACATATTACAAAGAAGTAATCAAGGAGGAAGCATAGGTCTGCCTTCCCTCCTACCAGTGGGCCTTACTGATCTTCCTATACCGACATCTTGACCTGCAAAAGCCATCTAAGGCTCACAAATATCACTGTAACAGTCCTGAACCTCAACAGTAGTGCTCCACAGATACTATAGGCACAAAAGGCCAGTGTTCATAACCTACCTAAACATCTAGAAGTGTACAAATTAAAGTGAATCACAAAGACTTTCCTATTCCGATTCCTGACGTATTCTGATTTATAGGAGAAACAATTTTGCCAAGTAGGAAAGTAACTTTGACAGCCTTTAGGGACTTTTAGTACCGCATTCGGTTATTCAGTGGATTGGCCCGAACAACAGATGAATAGATGACGCAAAGGCAACAGGCCTTCCATTTTTACAAGAGCAGCAGGACCACCAGTTTGAGCAGACGGTGTTGAGATTGAACTTGACGGAGAGCTTTTTTTTTTAAGCAGCTAGCTGTCAGCCTAGGAATGCAACAGCTTTTTTTGACAAAAACGTGATAAATCTGAAGGCAGTAGTGAAGCAACAGTGATACATATGAACCACAATATTTTATACCAGATCAGCCTCACTTTTAATGCTTCCACGTGTATTTTAAAAGTGAGTGCAACCAAAATATGAAATATGAAAGAAAATATAATAGAGAGCCAAGCCCTAAGCATGATACGAATGTTAATTGCAAGCCAACAGTAAATACTTTGTAGTGCAAACCTCTGCCCAACATTAATGTTTAGGCAACAAACAAGGCAAACATCCTTCCAATGAAACAGTGGGGGCGTTTTTTATCTAAAATGAGCATGATCCAGGCAAAGAGCTATAACTGAGAAGAGCAATTATGTGAAGATTACGGTGAGAGCTTGAACAAATGAGTCAGTAACCAATCAGACCCAACGTTTTGGCAGCATTATGCCTATTACACTAGCAAAACAAGTGCATTCCAAGCAAGTTGTCACATTTTTGACAAGCTTGTAGGATTCTATATTAAATATCCTACTTCCAAACATTTATTAAGAGTGATTTGCAATTTGTAATTTGCCATTCTTCCATTTGAGGAGAACAGATGCTTTTTCTTTTCTTTTTGTGCTAAAGCCCAGACACCAGGATTTTGGAAAATTCCCTGAGCTTGCTGAATTATCAGCCAACCAGAAAGATTCACTGGAGCAAGTTACTTCCAAAAGCAAAACAAAAACAAAACCCCAATCCCACCCAAAATGGAAGAGAAAGGGAGTCACATCAACCATGTTTTGACTTTGCTGGTCTCAAAACTCTGAAAATTTCTACCAGTTTTGTTTAATGGTTTATTAAAAAGAATGTACAGTGGTACCTCGGGTTACAGACTCCACTAACCCAGAAATAGTACCTTGGGTTAAGAACTTTGCTTCAGGATGAGAACAGAAATTGTGCAGCGGCAGTGGGAGGCCCCATTAGCTAAAGTGGTACCTCAGGTTAAGAACGGACCTCCAGAACGAATTAAGTTCTTAACCCAAGGTACTACTGTATTCTATTTCCAACTTTTGTATGTTGCCAGAAAATTTGAATCTTTTTTTTTTAAAGGAGGATGGCAAAATGCATTGACAGAAGAAAATACATGGGGATAGGAAACAAAGTAGAAACGAAGGCAACAGGGTACAGTGTTACCTCCGTATTTTTCGCCCCATAGGGCGCACCGGCCCATAGGACGCACCTAGTTTTTTGGGGGGGGGAAATAAAGGGGGGAAATTATTTCCCCCCCCCAGGCACGGGGCTGGGGCAGGGGATGCCCAAGCTTCCCCCGACCCCAGCCCCCAGAACAGGCTGCTATCCGCAAGCCTAGGGAGCCCGGTGGGAAGTCGCGCTGGTCTCCCCAGGCTTGCGGATATCTGTCCCCCGAGCTTGTGGGGCTGGCGGTGGGGAGAAGCGCGCTGGCGGTCAGGGGCATAGGAAAGGGGGCCGGGGGCCTCCGCCCCGGGTGCCATCATGGAGGGGGGTGGCAAATTATCAAGGAACAATTACTGCCCTACTAGGGCAGTTCATAAAAAAACCTTTTTTGAAAATGCCTTCTCCAAAGGTCTTATCTTACATTAGGGATGATATAGCTACATATGAAATTTCATGCATATCAGTTAATATCTTGACCCTCCTCCACGAAAATAGCTGTTTAATTGGCCGTTTTCCTATGTCATGAAGGCTGAAATTTCAACAAAGCACGTGCCTTTGCTAGACTCTTTTCGGGCACCTGCTAAAAGCATTCTTCTTTAGGCAAGCATACCTAGATGCTTAGGAAGTTGAAGTAATTTTAATCTTAATATTTTAGCTTTTGTATGTTTTAAAGTAGGATTGTTAATTTTTCTTGATTTTACTGCTGTGGTGTTTTTTTTTGTTTTTTTGGTGTTTTTTTTGGTAAACCACTATGCAGGTTTTTTAAAATAAATTTTATTAAATAAATAAATATAAATAAAATAACACGAGCCAAAACACAATCCATCCTGTAGATTTAAGTATCTGTCCATAGTCGCCTACTTGTTATCAGAGGCTCTGAATCCACATTCCTTTGTAAGAAAATATGAAATAACGTAAAACCATTTTTGCAGGCAAAAAAAAATCAATGTGTGTGAGGGGGGTGACAAGAAATTTTTCGTACCGGGTACCACCTGACCTTCCTATGCCTCTGCCTCTGGTATATATGAAACTAAGCAATTGCTCTCAGGAAGTGGGCAGGGTGGCCCCTTAGAAAGGTGGGAGGAAAGCACATAACCATTTCTCTTGCCAGTGATTCACCCCAGTAAAGGTAAAGGGACCCCTCCATTCGTGGACGACTCTGGGGTTGTGGTGCTCATCTCACTTTACTGGCCGAGGGAGCCAGCGTACAGCTTCCGGGTCATGTGGCCAGTATGACTAAGCCGCTTCTGGCGAACCAGAGCAGCGCACGGAAACGCCATTTACCTTCCCACCGGAGCGGTACCTATTTATCTACTTGCACTGCGTGCTTTCAAACTGCTAGGTAGTTCACTCCAATAACTGCAACCCTGCAGTTCTTTTAAAAGTGTTTCCCCCCACACACTTAATACAGCTACAGGAAAAACATAGATGCTATGACAGATAAACGTAAATGTGGCTTGGACTTAAACGATCTTCCACAGAATTGGGTTCCCAATTCCCACTTTTTCTGCAACCCACTGTATCCCTCAAACATTTGTTCCTGGGGGTTATGAGACATTTGGGAATGGTGTGGCATAGTGTATGGGGAGGCTGGAGATGGAGCTGGCAGACATCATTCCCCGTCCTTTTTTGAATAGGGGAGCAACTAGGGACATATTTTTTCCTTCACTGAAAATAAAGTCACTTATAAAAATAATGAAACAGAGGATTTCAGAATCTGAATAAACTCTGGAAGTCCTTCTGAAGGTGGGCAGCCTGTTTTGCTACTGAGGCTCTGGTGACACCTTGGCCTTGTGTCCACTAAATCAAGGTGCAACTGCCACAGACAACATGCAGCTCTCACCAGTGACTGATGCTGCTCTATTCCCCCTGAGGCAACTACAGAGCTTCACACAAGTTCTAAGGCTTAATGTTATCTAGCAGAGGCAGATGCACAGGTAATATGGAATGTATAATATATACTCATCAATGTTCAAAGGTTCACCTACTCTGCTGTCTCAGTCCTGGGAATTCTTACAAACATTTGTAATTCTTTTTGAAGTTCCTGCCAATATAAATAGTTCAAGTAACATTTGACATATCTGTCCATGAAAGTAAGTATCAATCACTTTAGCCAATGATCTGGCATATTGATTAGCAAATGATCTGGCTTTCAGCAAGGTGTCACAAGATCAATAGGAGAGAGACAGATGAAGACCACCTCTAGGCCTGCTCTAGCTGGGGGGGAAATGCTTCCCCTAGCATTGAGGAACCTTACCATGTTGGCTGGGACTGGGTTGTGTTATGAAGGGGAAACTGCTATCTCCCCTGTCACCATATCCCACCTTACTCAGTAGTCCCTTGACCCTTGGGAAAGGAAGGAGCCTTGTGGAGCTGCCAGGGAGAGAGTTAGCTTCTGTTCACCCCTTTCCATGGGCAGATCTCTGGATCCAATCCACTGGGACAAAGGCAGCTGGCAGCATGTTGTATGTTCTACTGATCAAATAGGCTTTACAGACTTTTAAAGCACTAAAAATACTGTTATGAATTTGAGGTACTAGAGTCTATTAGTGAATTGTAGAAATTGTTAAACAGCAGTATTTAGAAGAGAAAGTACAGTTCTTCTGGGTGTACAGTTCTCCTATGCAAACTACCATGGCTGGGCTGGTTGAATGTAGGTCATTATGAAACAACAGGCAGTCGTTATCACCTCAAGAGGAATCCCCCAGGGCTGTGTAAAAACAGAGATTACCAAGGTGATGCGAGGTGACAGGAAGGAGATTTGGGTTTTGGCAGGGTTTTCTGGGAAGAAAGAAGAAAGTAGGGAGGAAGGGCAGAACCATATTGGGAGTCTGGGAGAGAAGCACAGGAATGGTGTGCAGGATGCCTTGGACTGTGCTGCTGCAGAGAACAAGCCCTGCTTGAGATATAATTCTGTGGAACTATCTCCTTCTCCATGGAAGACTCTGGGTGTATATATACTGTAAGGTAAAGGTAAAGGGACCCCTGACCATTAGGTCCAGTCGTGGCCAACTCTGGGGTTGCGACGCTCATCTCACTTTATTGGCCGAGGGAGCCGGAGTACAGCTTCCGGGTCATGTGGCCAGCATGACTAAGCCGCTTCTGGCGAACCAGAGCAGCACATGGAAACGCCGTTTACCTTCCCGCCGGAACAGTACCTATTATCTACTTGCACTTTGATGTGCTTTCAAACTGCTAGGTTGGCAGGAGCTTTCTTTCTTGTAGTTTGGATCCATTGCTCCGTGTCCGCTTCTCTGGAGCAGCAGAAAAACAACCTTTCTCCCTCCTCTATGTGACATCCTTTTATATATTTGAACATGGCTATCCTATCACCCCTTAACCTCCTCTTCTCCAGGCTAAACATGCCCAGCTCCCTTAGCTGTTCCTCATAAGGCATCCTTTCCAGGCCTTTGACCATTTTGGTTGCCCTCCTCTGGACACGTTCCAGTTTGTCAGTGTCCTTCTTGAACTGTCACAGAAAAAGTAGGTGTGCCGCACCAAAGCGCCACACCAAAATAACAATGCATCTCTCACACCTCCTTTTCAACACTGAAAGTACTCTGCCTCCAGCCAGTGGTACTGACTTATCTTTGTCAAAAAGGCAGATAAACCAGCACCACTGCATGTGCACAAAAATACATGCACACAGGTCCTTTCCACCAAGGGGCAAAATATTAGGTGCAAAGGCCTTTATTCTGCTCCTATAGAGCAAGTAACAAGCCATTTAGCAGCCTTTGAGCTAGGCCTAGTATATGATAAAGGCTGCTCCAGCACATATTAGAATTTTGATCAGCCCTGAAAATAGCCCTTCGTGCAATGTTCTTGACCACATTTTTTTTTCTCCACAGTTCAACTATTTGCAGCATCAGAAGTTTTATTTTCCTTCAATCATCTTTGTACAAAACAATTTATTTCTCTCTGAAGTATATTTAGATATGAATTTTGCATGGTTTGTTTTTTTAAAAAATAATTGCCAGAAATGTGCTAATCTGCTTTAGCACATAGTTTGCTATTTGATGACTCCAGGCAAAGCAGGAAAGCTGTAATCAATACAATGAAGAAAAATGATTTGGAATTATACTCATTTCCCCCCCTAAAAATCAAAGGTATTTTCTAGGTATTGTCAAGCAGACAAGCACATATTGATTTATAGTTATTGCACATGGCAGGAAGATTGTTTGACACATTATGACTGCATTAGCTTTGTGTGCTATTTCGCAAGCATTGTAGTTAGCAGGGGAAATGTTTTGTTCTTTGTTAGTCAATTTGTTTAACAACCGCATCCCCAAACACTAAGCTATTTCTTTAATTATGGGAGGGGGGAAATGGCTCTAGTGTAAAGATGATAAACTATCAAAACAAGCTGCTTATTCCTGACAAGCCACAATAAGCTATAAAATCTAGCTTACTTTTACGTGCAAACATGACTAGACAACTACTGTAGATCATATAGGGGGATCTATTGTAAAATGTGGCTTGTGGACTCAAGGGATTCCCTCCCACATTGACTTGTGTGTTGAGGCGTCTCTCCCTTCATCTCTGCCATGAAACCTTAAACACCCCATACAGAATTCTTGTGAGTGGTCTATGGAGAACACTCCAGTTCAATGGAGCACTATCCATGCCTTTTAGGTGTCACCACTACCACTGTAGAGCTGAAAACGTAATGTAAAACCACAAATTCACAAGGCTTCCTGCATGCTGGTGAGCATGATGTCCATGCATATACCACAACATGCAAATACTCAAAGTATGTACAGGAAAAGGGGTGTAATCCCCCTCCCCACTAGTCCTTGATCTTTCCTGTGTTGCACAGGGAAAGTCTATAGTGGGCATCTAGTCACATTCACCTGAACACAAGTCCACATGCCTAAGGACCCTCCTTTATCATCCAGAATAAAGAGTGGGGAACCAGAGTCCCACAGTCCTCTCTACTGAGCTCTTGGGCCTCTCCCTAGGTTCCAACCACATCCCACACCTTTCTCTAGCTCCTTTTCCTTGCTGCAATATGCACTTGAACTGTACTAATGCCTCTTGCTCGCCTTGAGTAGTACCTGTAGTCTCCTGCAGCCTACTGTACAAAGGCAAGAATCATGTCTGGTGCCCCATCCACCATAGGCATGCAGCCTGTAGATGGCAATATGATGAAATGCAGCTCTTAGGCAGTAAAAAAATTTCCCTACCCGTCCCACATGAAAGCATTCCCTGACTGGGAATTAGCCTTAATCCTCAGAAGGAAACACACACACTGGTTACAGAGCTGCATTTCCATCTTTGGCCAGCCTCCCCAGCAGTCTGCTTAAGAGCGATTTGATCTGCAGCATTAGCAGGTGATAATGTGTTGCTTAGTGCTACAAAAAGCTTCGCCTGCTGATTTCTGTGCATCAGACTGCGGTTAGAGGCACAGAAGCAGGCAAGACTAGCAGTTCCCCCACCCCACCCCTAGCTAGTTGCCAACTTTATTGATTAAAGGTAAATTACTCTGCACAAAGCTATCTTGCTTTTGCATTCTTTGAGTAGACCAACTGTATAATTTGCTGAAAAAATTAGAAAAGCAAGCAGTTTTCAAAAGTTGCACTGCCTGTGCTTTTGTCAACATTATGAGCCCACTTATTTTTGACCAAATCATCTTTAGCAGGTGGTGTTATAACCTGAATTTTCCAGGTGTGTTACTCTCTCGTGTGTAGATAAAGCCCCAAGGACACTGCAACAGTCAAAAAAGCATTATTTTATGCTGGGATTACCAGACTGTTTATCAAGTCTATGGCAAGCTATGACTTGATGAAGTGGATGAAAAGCTTCAAAGAATGTGTTCTCCAAAAACCGAATGCTAGGTGATTCACTACTCTAGACTAAAGACGCAAAGCCTCTTGTTAAATTGTTCTTAGAAGTGTGGTATGCAGTGGAAGTGGAGAAAAGAGATGACTGAAAACATTTTCTTATCATCTTTGATTTTTCACTACTTGGGGTTTTGTTCAAGTCAGTCAGCACATATATCCTTTCAATACTCCAAGGCTGATTTCAAAGTGTCCGGGAGGTTTGGCGGCTTGCCAGAACATCTCTAAAATGTCAATGATGTGGCAAATGAAACCTATTAATGTTATTGTTCTTTTTATTACTTTGATTGCTTGTCCACATTTCTGTTACTAAAGATGCATAAAACAATTTTAAGTTTCATAAAGCGCTTTACACTAAATCAATATATATATTAAAACATCAGAACTGGGCTGTCCTTCTGCTACCTAGTTTGTGAAGTCAAATGACCATAGCTGGGATGGTAAAATGGGAACAGTCCTTGGGACCCTCCTGCTGCTGCTGGCAATTGATGCTCTGTGTGTAAGCAGAAGAGATGAGAAGCACAGCACAGAAGTACTCAGCGCCTCCCTCTGCTGTAGTAGGTGATGTTATCTGCCAGCCAGCAGCAGGTATAACAAACAGAGGCAGCTATTGGTCCTTCACTCAGTACAGGCAGGTGGTGTTGTCTGTTCCAGCAGGGATAGCAAATTGAAGGCCATCTGTTGAAAGGCGTCTCCCCAATATAAAGTGTCATTTGTCATTAATTTAGACTGGGAGGTGGGATACAATCCTTATTCGGCTTTCAACCAGCTTGCTGGAATTTTTGGGTTTTCAGAATTATCCTGGATGAACTCTCTTCTACAGATGAATAAAATGCATCACATTACATTTTTTATATATATTTGGAGAAGGCAGACTCTCAAACAAACATCTGTGTGCCACGAGTGGACTTGGTCCATTCATGAACACTCCTTTTAATAGCTCCCATTAGCTTTGATTTTATAATTGACTTCAACTACTTTTCTGTAACTGTTCTGCTTGCAAGAACATTTGATTCTGCTGCTGTGTTTGATCAAATTATTCCCAGATCCCACATACCTCAAAACAGATTTGTTCATGCCTGCTGAACAACTTCCTGGGCCCTTGGGTTGGCGTTCTTACATTGATGCCTCTTCTTTTGTGGTCAGTTATATGGGTGGTGTACAGATGTAATAAACAGACACCAAATACAACTTTCTGGAGCAATCTTCAAACTCCACAGAAGTGGCATCTACCATTAGCGGCATGTCCCTCATGGCATGAGAAAAGATATGTCATTTGGGCCCAGCTTAATGAAAGCGGAAGCACATATATGCACATCTCAAAACACTATGCTGCATAGGAATACAATGAAAGTGAACCCCACCAATCAGCCTAGCTTGTTGTCACTTCAGTGGAACCACAGAAAGTTGCCTTATATACCAGAGAAGACCACTGGCCCATCTAGCATTGTCCACACTGCTAAGTGGACCTAAATTGAGGCAGTTCTCTAGGTTTCAGACAGAAGGCTTTCCCAGCTCTAGCTCCAGATGGCAGGGATTGAACAGTGGATGTTCTGCACACACACACACACACACACACACAAAAAAACCTGTTCCGCCACTGATCCTTCTGTAAATGTGCTGTTGCCATGTTTTATTTCCATCAGTAATGTACCAGGAATTTTCCAATGAGAGACACAGACCGAAAGAAAATGTTTGTGATTTTGAAGATTTACCTCTTTCTCTGGTCCAAAGACTGTCTGATCTGAACACTAGAAAGGAACAGTCATTTTGCTGCACTGCAACACTTGTATTTTTTCTTAAACTAAGAAATAGCAATGTTTGGAGCATAGGAAATAGTTAAGGGCAGGGGGGGTTACTAGAGAAGATCTGGGAACGTATCAACACCTACCCTGCTAGAGATTCAAATCCGAAAGGTCACAGAGACAAATAGAGGGAGCTTCCCCAACTTAGTTTTTTTCTGGAGCAATAAACCATTCTGTTCACATCTGATGGAATGAGCATTTGGTAGCAAATTTTTAAGTACTTAATTGTTGCTTAATAAGTAAAAAAAAAAACAACTTGCCAGACTCTAGCAAGACCAGTTTCAAATTCCACTGTAGTCTATTTTTGAAGAATTCAGTCATTTTGAACACAGACATGCAAGTAAACTCAGGAATAAGGAGGTGGGAAAGGGCTTGTTTGGGGAAAACATTACTCCTCATGAATCCAACATGGAAAAACTTAAGTTTTGCAAGGGATACTGAACATCTTCTTTATAGTGTTTTAAAGTACAGTGTTTCTAAGATCCAACAATAATTAACTTTTTAAAACCATTGTTAAAATATGAAACAAACTGGCCCAAAGCACAATACCTGAACATGTAGCAGCTTGCTGTTCCAGCTCTGACATCTATGCTGTCTGAATTGCAGCTGAAGAATTTTTAGTACGTAAATGTACTTAACAACAATATACTATGTGGCAGCTGCACT